TGGAAAGTTGTCTGTTAAAAGAGAGGGTACCCTGATAACAAAGACAGAGGAGACTGCCTGAGTACACATATCACCTTGGGGTGTTGAGAAGACAGTAAACATTTTACAGGCATGTGTTAAGAATTAAGGCAAAGAGAGAAACTGAGTCATGGCAGGAGAATAAAGGTGGCAACTTGACAAATGTTAAATTTTGCAATAAGGCAGGCAAAGTTTAATTTCCACTCTATGAGAAAGTGGCACTGTGCATTGGGGATTTTCTCTAAGGATATGAGAGGCATAGTGTCACAATTAATCTTTTAGTGGAAAAATTCTCCCAAACGAGTTTCAATTAACAAATCACAGACTCCAGAAACTTGGAAAGAACTGATGAGTACCATGCAAATGCCAGAAGCAAGAGTATTTTAGCTTTTCCTTCATGGATGTTAAATGTTTATTTCTTCAAAGAACTCAAAAGCTCTACCCAGTTCCATGGTTAGTATCTAAAGGGCAGCTCCAGTTAATAATATATATTAATTCAAGTGTATATAAATTTTCGGGGGTGACTGCTCCAGGCCCTGAGGATTTGGGTGTGTTTTTGCAATTTTTGAGTGGGCCTGGCTGTGCCATGTTTTCATGTGTTTCACAACTCTCGAGGTGGGGAGGGGAAAGAGAAAGAGAGAGACATATGCATGTTTTAGGGGTTAGAATCATTTCAACATAGGGCATACTAGTCTTTGGTGTAATTGGAATTTGATTTGCATTCAGGTTTCATTTTTAACTTTAATTTCTTTGGGGGTGGATAAAATGATGCTAGAGGGTGGGAGGTCTGTCTTCTAATCTGGGGAGTCGGATGTGGAGGCTGGGTAGTTTGGCCTCTGTTCTGTCACGTGGCGCCCATTGTAAAACTTCTGTCTTACTCTACTGTGTTAAGTGTCTGGGTAAATGTGAAAATGAAAACGGAGTAACAGATAAATCTTCAGCCCATGACATGAAGTGTTCTTGGAGATGACTAAACTATTGCCCTGAGGTAATTTTCGGAGCCTTCTGAGGGTAAGTTGCTAACTCTTCCAGGAACAAAGAAGGACCCACTGAATGAAAATAGGGGCAGATTTTTCTTATGTGCCATTGTTCTTTCTTGTGTGTGTGGAAGGGAGGGCTATGACAGCATTCTGCAAAGGGTGAACCATTCTCTACCTATGTTTGCAGCAGTAACCAGGAAGATGTACAGAAAAGTAAGTGACAAACTGGAAAATCTTGGGTGGCCAGAGACGAGCATGTGTTGGGCAGTTTTCTATTTTCTGAAGAATGACAGGAGTTATTTGAAATCAGAAAAATAACACATGATAAAAGTACTGCTGAAAATATGGTCAAAATCACAGATTGTTCCACAAATTCTGACTGTGTCAACTCTTCCAACATCCGTGTGAATATCCAGGTAGCCAAATTTGATTCCGTAACTGTTATAATGTTCCCCATAAAGATTTTCAATGGAGGTGGTAGGATGGTAGTAGGAGTGGAGGTATTTCCTTCAACAGATTTTAAAAGAAACAAAACTTTTTTTTCATGAAAATTTAAATGAAAACTTAATTAGAAAGCAAAATGAAGAAATGAGTAAACCTAATTTTAATATTTAAATTTTAAATTTTAAAGGTGGGAATGCATCTGTCCTAAAATTATGAGTTTAAATCCCTCTTAGTCATTCCTGCACTTAGAAACAACTGTACTTATTTTGAAACCTAGCTTTTGCATAAGAACTCTGTACACTAAATGGTATAAATCATTTATGCACCCAATTACAGCATTGATGTATTAAGAGAACTTTTCTGTCTCCTTTCAATTTTTATCTTTGAGACTCTTCATCTTTCGCAAAACATATTCTGTTTTTCTTCGTTTGTTCTTATCTAACATTCTATGTAAGAAAGGAAATAAAGTCAGGAGTTATTTTACAGAAATGCATTTGGTAAATTTTGTATATTTCATTCCCCCTGCAAAGCCAAGCTTTCAAGCACAGTAGTTTGAATTGCTGTTAGATATTTACTGTCTCTGTGCTTGTCACCAGAAAGATGAATGTGACCATTTCAAATCTTGCAAAAAACACTTTTTACTTGTTACCATTTATATACTAGGTATTGCACATGCTTTCCAAAATCAATAGAAAAACAATGAGCATCAGGAGAAATACTTAGACTATCAAAAACAACTGAAGTGAGAATGTACTCTGTAGGTGCAATTTAAAGAATATGAGTGTAAAACAGAGAATAAAACAATGAAACATTCTATAAAGCTTTCATGTTAGTTGAGATAATCTGTAAAATCTACCCATCAGTCCTTCTGCTTCGGTTACCAAGAGACAATAGTCGTGTACACCTGCAGGGCAATGAAAGGCAACGTGGACTCCTAATGGCAAGGCAGGCAACTGCTCTTAAGTGCACAGACAGAAGGTGCACAGTCAGTCTGTCTCAAGTCATCTTTTAGAATTCACTTTTTCAGTTTCCCAATGGTGAAGATCCAAATTGCTGATTAAAGTTCAGTAAGAGTAAAACAAGAAAAGGCCATATGCTTGAGCTGTCAATCAATGATTATTCAGATTTTTTTGGGTTACAGTTTACAGTATTTTGTTTTACTATCAAGTTATGAGTATTGTAAAGGAAGGGACATACAAAAATTTTCTAAAAAACATGAAAAGAAAAAGCAAACCGACAGGAGGTGTATCTGATGAACACTTTCAATCTGTAATGAACTTTTGACCATCCTGACATGAAGTGTCCTGTACGGAGTGTTCAGGATGTTTTGATATTTGTGTGAAGAACAAAATGAACATTTGATAATATAAACTGAAATGCAGTTGAATATTATTAATCTTTTTAAAAATCAGAAGCACAGTAATGGGAGGAATAGGAAGACCTGAGAATCCAGGTTTTATTTTCATACAAGTATTTCCTGTTAGTTCAAGATGGTGGATGTTGAAAATATAAGGAATCTAATTGGAATATTTGTATTATGTGTGATGGTATTGATGATGACATCTGGGCTTCCTGCTCTTGGTGCAGTTCAGACAGATAATATAAATGGAAACTGTAATACAGACTGAGTAGATGTCAAGATTAATTAGAAAATGAGTGGAAGGCCTTTGCACAAGCAAGTACAGAGCTACTGACATTTTTCTGGTTTTGTCCAGAGAGGGGTAACCCTGCGCCACCATGGCTCTTCCTGCTTGGTGTTATATATACAGTTGTGGTCTTTATCACAGAACATTATTAAATATTGACTCAATTAAATATTAAGCAAACTGTTTATAGAATTTTCCACAACAAGATAGTTGTGGAATATGAGTGAGCTTTCCAGTGAAAGCTATCTTTCCAAATTTCAATTGTTACCAGATATGCTATACATACAAATGGCAGCTTCTTAAATAATAAGTTTTGGATTATTTTAGACATACCTACATACACATATTTTTAATATCACCAGTAGGTCTCAGTTATTACAATAAAGTAGGTACAGTTGTAGTTACTATAAGAAATATGATTCTATGTAATACTTTATGTCTCATTATTAATTTATATTGTGTTTATTGTTAAAATCTCAGCTGGCAAAGGAAGCCTATGATCTACTAAGGTGCCAATCCTATACACACTTATACATTTAATGAATATTGATAATTATAAATGTGAGAAAAAGTATGAAGCATTGATCTTGAAGAAACAGTGCTATAAAACCAAAAAAGTCTGAATTTCATAGAAAGTTAGAAAGGGAAACTGTCTTCTTAAATCTGCCTATAGACTGAAGTTACAAATTTGGGTTCAACATTATAATTGTCTGGGGCACTGTTTACATGTTTCAGATTCTCACTCACAAACCGTGAGTCAGTAGATGCCTGAAAAGTATTTTTAACCAGAATTCCAGCAATATACAGAAATCACTGCTAGATGACTTTCATTTAAAACATTACAAATAGATATTTTCCATCTGTATTCTGCCATTAATGAACCCAATAGTTCAGAGTTGAGTATCATAAGCAATATGGAATTGCCCTAATTAGGTAGAGTTAGCAACCATAAAAATGGTCCAGAGTAGTAAAAAGTCCTGTTTACAAAAAATATTCAAACTTTATCATTGTTTAATTTTTTAATTACATACGCAAAATATAGCAATTTTTGGAAACAGAGATATCAGCAAAAAGTGGACAGAATCAGCCATAATAAAAATTTTTCCTGATTGTCACAGCTACCAATTTTTTTTTTACATTTGAAAATATGTATATTTTAAAGTCAGATTACCAGACTGTCTTTGGCAACATTTTTATGTAGTAACATATTATGAAAATTTTCAACATTGTTGGATAATCTCTAACAACATTACATTTAAAAGTTTATCTTTGCTCATACTGTAATATACTTTATTACATTTTATTATTTGAGAAATTAGAATAAAATTATCTATTATAAAGATTGCTCTTTCATTATGTCTTTGAAATAAATAATCTCTACATCTTTAAAACAATATATTCCCAGAAATGTGGCTTGAAGGTTAAATACATGCACACACAAACAACTGTATATTACTTTTCTTGCAACTAAAAATTAGGCCAGACAGAATTTCAAGGGTAGTCTTTTCTCTCCACTGGGAAATAAAAATCAGACAGGAGAAAGAAGTTAGAAAGTTGGCAAGAAACACATGAGATAGGACCAAATACCTTCTTAAAGAAGCTGAATACAAAATCAGTATCTGATTGATACCCAGCTGATCCCTGTCTCAATCTTCCTAGGAACTGCCAACAACATGAGTAAGCATCGAAGATCCATTGTAGTTCACTTGAGGATTTATTTATAGGTGATAACTTTGAAAGGTTAACAATTACTTACCTATTTAGCTAAGGCTGTGATCACAATACTCACAGTGTTCCAAAGAACACAAGGAAATGGAGAATCACTGGAAGTTCAAGGAGCTGTCTAAGGACAAAGGTGATTACGATTCTTATGTCTGGAAATGACCACAGAACTGTCTGCCTTCTCTCATAGAGCAAGAAGATAGAAGCAAATAACAAAGGTGGGGTCTTGTTCCAATAATAAAGAATGTGATGATGACACATCTACCGTTCTGGAACACAGAAAAGACTACTTGCAGCAATATCTCTAAAAATTATCTGTGGCAGACTCAGTGGATGGTCAAGTTTGGCTCTGAAACCAGTCTCTTCATTTCTCAGAGAAAGGACAGATCCAGTTTATGTGATTAATTCAATGATATCAATAGAGATCACAGATACCATGATCAAAATAAGAACATTGCTTTTTGCAAAATCAGATTAAACTGCACTCCAAAAGAATACTGAATCATGTAAAAGCAGAAATTCCTCTCAGAGATTTCTGTATGCAAAGAAAAAACAATTAGGTCACAGGATACCAAGTTCTTGAGACTGTATGTCCTTATTAAGTCTCATTTTCATTCAGATATGTATAAGAACATTTGGCATTTGGTAAAAAGGTTATGTTTATCTGTGTTTTCCTGAATATAGAATCAATATCTTTGTGACAAAAAGCGTTAGCTAAGAAGAATCCTTATAGCATTTAAAATAATTAGTAACTATAATGCATAATGTATAATTCAAGAGTTTTCTGTGGCCCATTTCCCATCTACCCTGTCCCTGTCTCCATCCTCCTTCCTCACCTCCACCCAACCCCCGCCAAAGAGATAATTAAGCTTTTAAGAATGAGATGGATCACTTCAAAGTAATATATTTCTACTTTACTTCCTTAATCCATGTTTAGACTTTCCTAACTGCCAAAAACTTTATGTCATTTAAACTTGGTATTCTTCTATTTCTTTGTCCCTGCCCTATTTTCTCCCATCACAAAATGTAAGCAAATCAATGTGTGAGAAGTTCCAATGGATTTAATTGAACAGAAAGTTGGGGTATCTTGTACCCTCTCCTTTTTTTTCTTTCGGTACATAAGTTGTGTTTCCCACTTGAGACTCAAGAATCTATCTTGGCATGATTCAATCCTTTTTATCAGTTGGTTCTAAACAACTTTCACCACCATATTGCCTCCCTAGTCTGAAAATACACTAATTTCTAGTCAGGCCAAACTATACATCCTTCCCGGAACTGACTGCATTTGTTGTGTTATAATCCCAGCTAAAATGCCTTCCCTGATATTTACTACTTATCCTTCTAAATACAACCCCAATGTCACCACCTCCCTGAGAACACCCCTGATTCCACAGGGTAAGAGTCAGGGTGGTGTGGGAAGACCACACATGTCCTCTGCAATCATTCACAGGTAGGTATAAGTGAAATGGGAGAGTTCCCTGGTCCCCCTCACAGGATGTGTAACAACAGTGTGGCTCTCTTTTCAGTTCCTATGAGCTTAAAGCCCTTACGAGAGGGGGAGCACGCGACAAGCAGGTGCAGGAACCAGAGTGAGCACTTTTGGGCTCTGGTCCCACAGCAGTGTAGGGGTGAGTGTCTGTGACTCTCAAAACCCAAGTGGGCACATGTTACAGCATGCTCTTTTAGTATTGCCATCCACAACAGCTTCAGTTTTAACTAGCTTAGTGGACCCTCTGCCTTTTTGCAAGGGCAGAGGGCCAATATGACAGCTTTCTGTATTCTGAGCTCTTGTCCAGCATCCAGGAAGAATCAGGTAACACACAAACTTGAAGGATATATGTGGGGGTTTTACTGAGTGGTGGAGGTGTACTCAGCAGGATAGATGGGGAGCTGGACAGGGGATGGAGTGGGAAGATCATCTGCCCCTGGAGTCTGGCCATCCACTGGCTGATTCTCTGACAGTCCCCAGCTGTACTTCTGACAGTCCTTCTCTTCTCTCCTTTTCTCCTGTATTATTCTGCCATTCAATTTGCTTGTCTCCTTGTTTTCTTGTCTACTCACCTGCTCCTGGAGCCTGAGATTTGGAGTTTATATGGGTACAGGACAGAGTGTGTGATGGGTCAAAAGGTGACTTTTTGGGCATGAAAACAGGAATGCCTGTTCTGTATCCAGGCTTGAGGGTGGGGCCTTTGCTGGGGAACTGCCCTCTTCTACCTAGTATTTCCATCTCCTTTCCATATCATAAAGATGTGAGGCACACAGTTGGTGTGCAGATATGAAATACATGTTTCTTTATGTTTTCTCCTTTTGCTCTAAAAGGGTCCATATTTGCCTGCATTCTAGTGCTTACCACACAACAGTGGGGTATTTGATTATATGTCTCTTTCTCCAGTAGACTAATGGTGATCCCTGTGCAGGATTCTTAGATGGGCCTCAATAAATTTTGGTTGAGTTGCACTGAATTGTGTTTCTAAAGTAGGTATCATGTCTTATTTCCTTCAGGGCACAATATCAAGCACTTAGAAGCTCAAAAAAAAAAAAAAGATTGTAAGATACTAAATGAATAGATTAACCAAAAAATTCATTTTTCTAGCAGTGTTCAGTGATGGGAACAGAACAGTAAAACAAATACACATAAAAATACATGAAGGTCAGGACCTACAGAACTAAATGAGTTAGCATCATTTCATCTGCCTCTGCTACTTCCTAGCTATGCAAACTGAGACAAATCACATATATTCTCTGATCTTCTATTTCATTATCTGTAAAGTAGACACAAAAATAATACGTAGCTCTTAGCACTGTTCATAAAATCAAATAAAAGTAAGTAAAGTGCTTAGCAGAGTGCGTAAAACACAAATTTGTGCTCCATAAGTGTTAGCTGTTACCATCTTATTGTTTTCTGAAAGGCCTCCAGCTATACTTGTTAAGAAAGGCGTTTATTAATTGTATTTAAAGATACTAACCATTAAAGTAATGAGAGTCAACAGAGTCAATATTTATTGAGTGCCTACTATGAGCCAGTCATCTGTTCTCATTGTATTACACCATTATAACATCAAGGAAACAGTTTTAAAGGAGTACAATCAGCACAAGGTTAGAAGGAGAAAGCATCAACACTGTGATAGTCACACATTATGGCCCCACCACCCCGTCTCTTAATTTTGTTAGGACTTGCCTTATTACAATTAGGCACATTGCCTTCCTTTACCTTCTAGTAAATAGTACATTTTTTGAAGACCGAGATTGTGTAACTCACCTTTATAACTCTCACAACCTGAAGCTGTTGTACACACAGGTGCACACACACACAGAAACACACACACACACACACACACACACTAATAAAGAGGAGAAGTGACAAACTAGATCCATATTGTTGGAAAAGACACAGAAGGTTAAAGGAAGGTCACTCTCAAAAACTTATTAGCAATGAACAGAGAAACTAGACCACCCAAATGAACCACATGCTTGCATTCATAGCTATACCTATACAATTTGTTGAATTTCTAAAATCTGTAATTCAGTTAGTTCATCCTCCTTCAACCTTGAGTCATTTTATAGTTTAATTCCAGTTGTCCTTCTCTCCTAAATCCTGTAGTTAAAACCACTTTCCTCTTGGCTGGTGGATAAAATATTTTTTGTTTCAAAGTAATTCTTTACCTGTAGATGCTGGCAATTTCAGCATCAAGATAATAAATAACCACCTGAAACTATATTCCTGAGGCCAAGCTATTGCCATCAGAAAGTGTATTTTCCTATCTTTTCTCATCACCTGTGCACTGGAAGACAGAGTGGGTGGCATCTGACCACGCAGCTACCCTATGCCTGGAAAAGTATCTGCTTCCTGCGCAGGCAATGGAGGGATTTAAACTTCCAACATCTTTAATCACCAAGTAGCACTTCTCCAGAAGCGATGCATAATCAGGAGTTATTTTTCTGGTAACGGCACTTGAACCTGACAAGTACTTCACCTACATTAGGGGTGAAACAGGCCTGTACATTAGTTTGGTTTATCAGAGAAACTGTGACTGTTACACACCCCATAATAACTATAATTATAATTTTTGAATACCTGTTATATAGTAGATGCTATACAAAATGCTAGATAAATATTATTTTTATCTTCAACAACAGTATAAGGAAGGTATGCCAATTTTATAAATGAGGAAGCTGGGGCTCAAAGAGATTTAGGTAAGGATTAGCATCAAGGTAAGACACCAACAAGGGACAGAGAAGCGAGTCCTATAAAGGTGAATCTGAGGACCTCCTCTCTTCCCACCACACTGAGCCATGACTGTTGAAAATATATCAGTGTCTGGTGGTGCGTTAAGAAGCTCCATGCCATGGGCAAAAAATTTATTGGTGTATAATATGCACATGGAAAAATCAACAAAACTTTATGTCTGAAACTTATTCATGAAGAGATAATGGTAATGATACTTAGAAATTGAAAATAGCTGACATTGTAACATATCCTCTATACTCATTGCTAGGAAACAATTATCCCTGGTTATTTTATTATCTTTTGTTGTTTTAACATTTCAGTATGATTCTGAGCCTTCTGAGCAAAGGGTACTTGCAAGGATATTTGCTTAACAGACAGCCTTAAAAGCCAGAGACTAGTGTCTCCATTAAGATAGACAGCATGGGAGAGATTTGGAGACAAAGCTCTCTCCTTCCTATTCTCTGGATGAGATTTGCTTACCTTCCAGTATAATGGATAATTAATGTCTCTCTCCCTCTCTGTATTTCTGTTGCTTTTTCTCAAGGAAAGCAGAGGAGCTAGCAGCCAATAAAAATTTAGTCTCTTCTAATTTGGGGGTTCCTCTCCCGTGATGCAAACCTAACACAAATGCAGGTAAAGTTTTGACTCTTACAGTATTGCCGTGTAAGAACTGGGGTACAGGGAACTGGAACCACAAGCCAGAGGGAAGACAGTTCTCTGGATGCTGTTTTGTTGTGAGTCATAAGGCTCTGTGTCTCTGCCCTGGGCTGTGGTGTCTTCTGTCAGCATATGCATAAAACTGTGCAAGTCTAACCTTAGCTTGCAAGCAGAGTTCAGTTCTACGCGGGCGATTGGCCCCATGACCCTCACCTATACCAAAATCCGTGCATACCTAAGTCTCACAGTCTGCCTTAAGGAGCCCAAATATGAAAGACAGCCCTTCCTAGATGTGAGGTTTGCATCCCACACAAATGAGTACTGCAGTTTCAATCTGTGTTTACTTGGAAGAAAATTTGAGTACACACAAATCTGTGCAGTTCAAATCCATGTTGCTCGAGGGTCAACTGTAATCTGAATCCCTGCTCAGTTTCTTAACTAACATCAGAAGTTCTCAAAGTGTGTTTCCACCTCAGCCCTGGGGATTAGGTAAAGAACCAAATTCTTGGGCCCCAGCCCAGATCCACTGAATCTGAAGCTCTGGGGTGGAGCTCAGCAATTTACGCTTTAATAAGCCATCCATGTAATTCTAGTGCACACCAAGATTTATAAACCACAAAATATACTCTGTTCATGTATTTCTAGGAATAGTAAATCCATAAACTCATAACAAATTCATTTTGAAAGACCACTCAACAGATCTATCTCTAAAAGAATTAAGATTTCTTGGAAGAAATCACTTTCATGTGTTGGAGGTTTTCTTTTATTCAAATATTTAATAGTAGTACAAACTCTGCACTCTTGACCATAATTTAGTGTAAATCAGAAGAATTTCCTCAATTTCAAATAGCGTATTACTTGGTAGAGCCAAAAATAATCATCTGTACTGTGCATCTATGAAAATAAATAGCCCATTTTGTCACTAAGCAGAAATACCTTGCTTTTTCAAATTGTGCTTACTCATTATAGAAATTACTCAGCAAATTTAAAAAAGAGTGAAAAAATTAAGTTATTGATAAATGTTCTGTATTCCTCCCTGCAAGATTTTATTTAAACACACACACACACACACACACACACACACACTAAAAAATACTAGAAGGGTACCTTAGCACAGTATCAAATATTGGGTCTTAATGGCTCTAAAGTATTCCCATAAACTATAATTTCTTTAGCCAATTCATCCTTTACAGTATGATATATAAAAGTTTATATTTTTAACTATTTATCATAATAAAAAGTTACACACCACTCTAAGGAATTCCCTAGAATGAAATCAATTGGAAAATTATTAAAACTAATAAGAAATCTGTAAATTCATACTTTTAAATAATCAATAGCTTTGCTATGTACCAGCAAAACCTATTTAGAATATCCAAAGAAAAAAGGAATCTCATCTGTACTAACAAATTTTATGTCTCGTTTGTGTGATAAAGCTTTGCCCATATCTTTATTTGCAAATAGTGTGTCCTTTTGAGCATTTTATACAAAAGCATATAGATAAATACTGCTTTTTGAATCACTTTAAGAGTGTTGTCTTTTAGTAAAAGAATTTAATCCACAATGAAAATCCATGACAATAACAATATTTAATCTTATTATTTTATCTTATTTAATACCCTATGATTATGGTTTTATTACATATTTTCTCTCATTTCGATAAAATGATGGTTTTTAAAAGTTTTTCTGCCACTGATAAACTATGCACACAAAATATATTCTATTATGGTTTATCTGTAGATCATAAAATATTTGAATCTCTAGTAACACAAAATGAGCAAAATTTTACTAATCACTTTGTCCTAATACCTATTCCCACTCTATGTATAGACACATCCACAAACCCATTCTCCCAGCAAACACAAATAGATGCCCCTTTTGATTTTACAATTAAAAAAAATCTTGCAATACTCCAGAATTTTTTTTATATTTGTATTAAGCCTTACAGCCAAACTAACAGCACTAATAGTTTAGACTTGATTCTGGGCTCTCTTGGTATTACTGATCACCCCTCTTTCTGTTCTTAAAAGGTCTTCCCTTTCTGAGTATGTTTAGATGGCACAGTTTCTCCAGTGCCTTTTTCATGCTTTTATGTGTACATGGTTATACACTTGGAGATCTCATATGTTAAAACATTTCTGTGTCATTGCCTCCAGCATGATAGGTTTATTATTGACTTGTAAGAGTTGCTTATATATTCTTGCACATCAGGGGCTTTCTGTTGTTCTCCTTTAAGAAAACTCTCTCCCCTACTTCCAGTGTTAGAGTTTTTTTGTCATTCAATTCTTAGATCAAAGGTTATCTACTTTGCAAACAACCAATCCAAAAATACTGACTTGAATTCTAATCATTTTATCGTCTTTAATTTTTTAGTTAAAAATTTATTATAAATTGACAAATTATAGTTGTATATGTTTATGGAATACAAAGTGATATGATGGTATATGAATACAATGTGGAATAATTAAATCAGACCAATTAATATATCTACCAACTCAAATTCTTATCATTTTTCATGGTGAGAATATTTGAAATTTACTTCCTTAGTGATTTTGAAATGTACAATACATTATTATTAATTATATCCACCATGCTGTGCAATAAATCTCAAAAAAAAAAAAACCCATATTCCTCCGATCTAACTGAAGCTTTCTGCCCTTTGACCATCATTTCCCCATCCCCCTACCTCTTGGCCTCTGGTAACCAACGGTCATTCCACTCTCTACTTCTGTAAGACGGTTTTGGATTCCACACAAAGTGAGAACATGTAGTATTTGTCCTGTTTCTGACTTATTTCACTTAACATAACGTTCTCCAGTTCTTTTAAAAATTGAATACTACTCCACTCTAATAGCGTATTACTACGTGTGTGTGTGTGTGTGTGTATGTATATATATATATATACACATATATAAACACACACATACACCACATCTATATATACCACAAATATATATATAACTTCTCTCTCTCTATCTATCTATCTGTTTATTTATCATCTCTTTATCGGTTGGTGGACACACAGGTTGATTCCATAATTTGGCTATTGTGAATAATGCTGCAGTGAACATGGTATACAGATAATCCCTTTGACACACTGATTTCAAATCTTCTGGGTCAATACCAAAAAGTGAGATTGCTGGATCATACAATAATTCTATTTTTAA